ACTTTATACTTCTTGACTTTTTAAAAAATGTAAGGAGTAGAAATAAAAAGTAGACTGAAAAATAATTACTCAAGTAATGTACAAAAATTCTACTTAAGTACAATAAAGTATTTGTACTTAGTTACTTTACAGCTCTGTTCTGACGTTGGCGTGTGGCTCTCAACACAAAGCTGTTTTCCTGCAGCGGGCCTCCTCCCGTTGTGCCCACACACACACACACACACACACACACACACACACACACACACACACACACACACACACACACACACACTGTAATTAAAGAGCTGCTCGACTGCAGCAGCTGTGGGAAAAGAAGCAGAGCGCTCCAATAATCACCAGTTGGGGAGCACTTAAATTAGCCTTTAGCTTCTCCCCGAGGCCCGCGCACACGCGCCCACAATCGATACGCTTAACTCTGTGTTCGCATCGCTGCCGGTCCAGATCCCTGCRAGCAGCAGCCTCGGGTTCAGACAGGGGAGACCTATGAGCTGCAGTCACAAACAGCAGGATGTCGCCTCGTTTTCCAACAGCTTTCACTCAACTTACCCGCAGCTTCAAAATCACTTCTGCTGTTAGAATCATTAACAAAGAAGCTAAACTTCTGCAGACACAACCATCCTGTTTAGGTCYTCTGGACGTGTTCTTCTCTAATGAAACGTTTCGTCTCTCCGGAGGAGAAGTGTCCATTCAAGAAAATGGCAGCGAAAACTAAAAAGAAGAACTTTACGAGTTCAGAGATTGAAGTCCGTCTGTCAGCAGGTCAGCTGTGGAATAAAAAGAGCTGCTAAAAGTATAAACAACTGTGTTAAATCATTTTCATTTATTCAGAGATTTTTTCTGGACGGGTTCTTCTCTAATGAAACGTTTCGTCTCTCCGGAGAGACGAAACGTTTCATTAGAGAAGAACCCGTCCAGAAAACCTACACACTTTTTTTTCTTTTTGATTTTTTACCTGGATTACTGAGATGCATCAAGTCTCTTGGAGGAGAGACGAAACGTTTCATTAGAGAAGAACCCGTCCAGAAGACCTACACACTTTTTTTTCTTTTTGATTTTTTACCTGGATTACTGAGATGCATCAGGACGACCATCCTGTTTAAACTCTGMGGGGTTTGTTTGAAACTGAGACCAGCTCTCATACTCACAGTTTCCTTAAGGCCAGAAGACCCCTGAAGGCTCCAGGCTCCACCGTGCTGATCAGATTCTTCTTCAGGTCTCTGGAAAACAGGAAGACAGAAGAAAAAAACTGGATTATTGGGGTTCTTCGCTCCGGCTGATGGATATTTAGAGACGTTGGATTGATTTCATGAGACARTTTCAACCATTTAAAGCACAGAGTCAGAGAAATGTTGGACCTGCTGTCTGAGATGGAGGGGGGGCGGGGTTTATGGTTGTATGATTGACAGTTAGCGGCATCGCCTCACAAAAAGTTCACGTTAAATGTTGGTGATGTATTTAAAGTGCCTGTGGTGTCAAATCTTTGTATTACATATGAATGCATTTTTATAAAGAGGACATTGAGAAAATATTGCAAAAGAAATTTCATGTTGCTGAGATGAACGGTTGTTGAGATATTTGCCTGTGAAGAAACAGGAAGTGATGTCATAGGGGAATGTCTGCATGTAAACAGAGCGATGTTACAACATCCTGTAAAGAAGAATCGGATGTTTCTTTAGATCTTTAGAGTTCAAATAAAATTGTTTCAATAAACAAAGACCAGAGAGTTTTCTTTGTTAGAGTTCCCCTGTGATGTCACTTCCTGTTTCACTTTGGCTGAGCCAAGTTCAAAAGAAAATATAMCAGTTATGGGACCAAATGGGTTAAATCGTGTGTTTTATTCCAACTTTCTTAAATATAAAGATGTTTCCTTTGACTTTTTGTATTTGAAGAATATGCATGTCACAGACACTTTAAGAGTTCTGCTCTTTTTATCCACACGATGGTGCACGTCCTGATTGRCAGCTGGGTCAGTGGGTTAGCTCCGCCCCCAATGTTCAGAAAATGAGACACGAGATGAGATTTTGAGCTTTTAAATAAACGTTTCCTTTTTGTTTCAGTTTCTTTGTGTTTGACTGCAGTCAGTAAAGGCTGCGCTGGCTGTTCAGTGAGTTAGCTTGCACCTGTTAGCTGGACTGCAGAAACCACTTCCTGCTGGCTGCAGAGCCAGACCACATCCAGCCACCAGCCCGCCACTCCTCCTCCACCCGCTGCACCCGCTCCAGAGGACAACTAAAAACTAAAATAGACGTCAGAGAAATCTGCTCTGGTTTTCTCTGCAGGCCAAGAACAACTTCCTGAAATTGTGTCTCTGGTTTCCTCTCAGTCTGAGGAGCGAGGAGGAGACGTGTCCTYTTCTGTTTTTAAACTTCAACATTTCAACTCGGCTTTCTGAACTTCATTAGTTTTATATTCCTGAAGGAATTTAGGACTTCCTTTTCTAACAATCTAAATTTAGAAACTTTATCAGGAGACTTAAAAACAAATCCTGCTGAAAATAACCTTCAAAATAATGCTCTGCATGAGACATAGACTTGAAAAAGAACACTAGACTAAGCCCCGCCCATTCCGTCCACTGTTAGTCTGTGACAGCATGGAGGAGCAGAAACACAGACGGACTCACAGCGACCACAGAAACTAACAAACAGCAGCTGAACTGGATCTGTTTCACACATTATCTCTCATGTTTTTACAATAAATTAATAATTATCTTAATTT